CTATGTATACACAGAGAAAGAGACAAAAGCATACGTATGGAGCACACGCGAGAGGAGAATGACGTGCAACGTTTCTATACACCGCTTAAATACCGAAGGTAACGCCTCTTACTCCTGTATAGAATGTACAGCACTTTGTAGCCCGGTGCACGGTGCACATGTTGGTACATTAATCGTTCGAACCCTGCGCTAACGCGGCGAGTTTCGATTTCTACCACGGAATCCGCGTCGCTCGAATATAGGTTCGAGCTTTTCCACGATGCTATGACGGAGATACGCGACACAGTTCCAAACAATCGGGTCTCAAACGCGATACCGAACCGATCGTTCGCGAACTCCTCGCTAAAATATCGCCACGTGAATGGATCGGCGCGTGTGACCCGCACGCCAAATATCAATGACCAACCAAACGAATTCGTAAACACTAAGAATCCATGATGACGCGATTGTCCATATATTTCGTATATTTCGTTTAAGAAGGAAAATTATAATCCGCCTTTAAGGGAAAGATGTTCCTTATCTCCTCTTCTTATACTACGATTAAACTGATGTGATTGACTGATGTGAGTCGCTCAGAATCCCATATTGATCGATTCCATAAATTCAGAATTACGCAATGACGACGTCACAGACATTGTTCTTTGAGATTTTGCTAATTTTTTATGTCACCTTCTTACAACAAATATATTAGGTTCCTTTTGTTTTATTAATGAATAATATGTGCACGGTATTTTTATGCTTTACGTTATATCGTTGAATTGTGATCCATTCTGATTTATTATCTCCCTCGGTCCCTCTGGAAGCCTCATGACTCCACTTACAAAATTTCTATTTCAATTTTCTAGCGAAATATTATTGGAGATGCATTTTATCTATGCATTGAACCACGAAAGAAAGGAACAGATAATAATCCTCAGGTATTAACACGTTCGAAACGGTGTCGGTCCGTGCGGACCGACACTCCATTATTCGTTTGGTCGGCGTCGGCGTCGGCCCCGCGAGACCGACACTTACAATATTCGTTTAACCGATGTCAAACATTTTAATGGACGGCGTATCGAGTCTGATAAGTACACTTGATTTTTATTAATATAAAGAATACACGTTAAAAAATTATAATTTATATAACATAACAAATACAGGCTTACGATCTATTTGATTACTATCTATTTCTTTCATTTAAAAAATGAAACCCTGCAGTAAAAAATTTGGTTCAATAAATGCACCACGAACAATATTTCGTCAGTAAACGCTAGAAATTTTTAAAAAAAATGGCATGAAACTTCCGCATTTTACGATGTAAAATATAAAATATCGTGCATAGATTGTTATACTAGTGCAAGAATAAATCATTTGTTTGAGTTGAAGTTCTTTAAAAACTGGAGCTTGATCAATATGACTTCTAACAAACTCAATTGTAATTTTTATATTAAAGGGTTTTGTTCATAAATAAAATTTAAATTTTATCATGATCATAAATAAAATAGAATTAACTTACAGTTAGGTGTGTCTTGTCAGGTGCGATGGCGGTGATCTCGACTGGCCTTGGCTCAGGTGGATTCGCTTTGCTAAGAATGGCAGCTGGCATTTTCGCGACCAGAGACAGCCTCCTGGTGAGCCGTCTACCTAATTCTGCGCGTCGTCGCACCCTGACACGGGGACCGGTACCTTTGTAACCTCCGAATTCCATTCTGAGAGAGAAGTACGTCCTTTTCCCTTATCCTCGTGATCTCATGGCGGTAACAAGTCGCACCCCGTGTGTCACGTGGTCGCACAAGGATTACGACGCGCTCGTTACGCGGCGAATGTCTATCAACGAGTCGCCAGAACTCTCCACTATAGCGGACGATCGGGAACTACACGTATGATACGTAAGAATCATTCGACTGTTCATGTCCAAACTTGTTCTTATCGTGCGTTCTTTCAAAATCAACACACTCCTCGCGATTCACCAATAACAACGAGTCAGTCGTCGGCGCTATATGCCCGTTTGTGTTTTCGAAAATTTTTTCCAAGTGTGTTGTTGATTCGACGACACGAACGAATACGTTTCGTTGGAATAGTTGTCAACAGACTTCACAGATTCGACGCGATCAATTACGCGATACGATACGCGATTTGATTCGACTCGATAGGATTCGATACGATTCGATACAATTCGATACGATTCGATGGATGTCAAAGATCACTCCCGCGAACTCCGTCACTCGACATTCCTTCGAAACAAAACTGGGTCATTGATGCATCGACTTTTTTCGAACACGTTCGAAAACGCACAAAGGTTTATACTGGTTTTGGAGCAACGGCTGCTCACATTCGGTTATACGCACGACGTAAACCCAACACACTTGCTCCGATGCTGGGGGGCGCTCTCAGTCGCATGCACACACACCTTTACGCTTACTACCACATTTCCCTTATACTCGTTACGTACGTATGTGCGTCCTGATCTTATGCATGCGTACGTACGTATCGTACACGGTGATCGAACGAGGCGAAAAGCAACGCAGTATGATGCGTGCGTACACTGGAAGATTCGACGTTATTCGAAAAAAAGCAAAGCACGAGGTGCAGAAAACAGAGCAGCCGGTTCTTGCTGGCGCTCGGTCTGCCTGGCGCGCTTCGACTGAAATTGAATCGCAGCAACCTCCTACCACGCGGCCCGTCACACTAGCCGGCCTTCCTAACCGCGTCGCGCCTCCTCGTCACTCTCGTCGTGCATTTACTTCTACCCTACCGAACAAATCTGCGTAAACAACACGTAATCTGAAAATCGGATGGTAACCGGCACGCTCCATCATCGGACACTGGTATAACTGACACGCACCAAATCGATCGACCAAATCGAAATAACCGTTCGACCAATCAGCGCCGCCGTATTAGCGATATTCGTTCCGTCCACCAATTACAGGACACTATTTATTATTTTCGAATTCTTTTCTCCCACTATTTTTCTATCTTTTCATCGATACGATAAAATCGAGATTTTCCCGATCGATTATCATACGTGTAAACTGCGAATGCTTGTTACAACTGAAAACTACGGAAAAAGAAAATATGATAGCTCCATTTGTGTGGATTTTCTTTATGTTATTATTTATTCGATGATTAGAATAAATTTAATAAGTATATTTATAATAAATTTAGAATAAATTTAATAAGTATATTTATAAAGTAAATTTAATAAGTATATTTTAATAAGTATATTTATATAGTTATCAAAAATGTAAGCCTTCGAAAATAATTGAAGTTGTATGAGTATATAACAAAATCGTTTTTATATTTGATTTTAAAGCTAAATATTATTCGTTATATTATTAAAATATTGCAGAATGTCTCATTTTAATTCTTCCGTGCAATTATTTCCACAACATTATTTATTATTTTAAAAATATGTTTGAAATAAAACTTGTTCTATATTGAAACAAATTTGTCTAAATGGAAGCGAAATCTTACATTTTTCGAGATCTTACAATCATTTTTTTTTTCTAAATAAAGTCATATATATTTTTAGGCATTAATCGATCATTCAACATTCTCTAAAAAAGACCAAAAAAGATGTACCAATTTACGTACATCAATTATTAGTTTAAGAAATATTTTAACTTTAATTTTTATAAAATCTATCATATAAAAGACGAGGAAAGACGAGACCAATATTTAAATTAACTTGAACATTTCGAATAATGAATAATTGCGGAAATTATTGCCTTGATGAATTAAAATGACACGCTGTATATTTGACTTTATTATAAACTATCTTTTAAAAAATTGCTCTTTGAACCTAAGAAATTTTTTTTTATTCTCCTATCATAAAGTGGCATTAAAATCAGAAAATCAACAAAAATGTATTTATCGCGTTCTTCTCCTCTGATCTTCAAATATTACAATGAATATTTTATTTTAGACATTTCGTACATTTAAGCTTCTCACAAGTGTATAAACATTTGTAATTTGTTATTTCGATACAACTCACATACAAATGTAATTAGAAAATAATTTTATTTTAATGAAATTTCAAATTCCAAACAAAATATGTGACATATTTTCTCTTAATTAGCCTACCGTCTAGATAAGAATAGTGAAATTTTTGAAAGCCAGCAACTTTTGAAAGTTGATATAATGATTGATTGTGCGCAGATCGATTACGAAACTCAACTCTGTAGTATTTATGAAGCTTATCGATCAATATGCGCGAGGACAAATCGTAGAAAATCTATAGGAATTGATCTACGTACATACATAAATCATACCTTATGTAGAACTTTAAAATACATGAAAGCCATTACTATTATGACAAACATACATAAATACATGATGATATCAAAGACTAAATACTCAATAAAGAATACGATTATCGTTGATATAAGAAATAAAAGAAAAGTTTAGAATTGGCACGTTTAACGCATGTTTACGCTTAATATATAGTCACCGTAGCAATATAGTCTTATTCGTGGTAAATAAATTCCTTGGCCTATAAATAATAAATAATGGAAGGTTATAAGAAAGTTCATTTCTGAACCAAGTATTCTAATACGTTACATAGCAAGCTGATTTACAATTAACTAAATTTTTAGGCTTTTCAGTAGACTATCGTCTGTCTAAACGTACAAATCATAGCATGCCATGAATTCAATCTAAAACAAGATTACACATAGTAACGAAGATTTCTAGATTAGGAAATGTGTCAGATACTTGGAGAAATACGGCGTTAAAATGTTTAAACAATTTTTCAGATGAAATATAAAAATAAAAAGCATCTTTATCTCGATTGATCTTAGAATTTTAATTATTGGTCGAAAGTCAGAGGAAATCGCAAGAACGAGTAAATAGAAGAATTATCCAATATGAAGTGAAGCGCATTTATATTCAGATTTCTGGAGAATCAGGGAAAAGCGAAAGAAAAGTAGAACTATTTTACCTTCGACTTTTCCCTCATCATCAATTTGTCAGGCGTACAAAATTTCTCGAAAACGACGAAAATCATAAGTGCTACGACCATGAAGTCCAACGCAACGATGCAAAATAAATTTACTAAGCAAAATGAGATTAACCGTCAAAGGCTGGCGCAAGAACTTGTGAAACTCGAGAAGGTGGAGAAGTCAGACTTGAGGATGATAGAGACTGCGAGGCACCGATTTCGATTGCGTCACAAGAATCTGGAAGCATGGCAGCCATCCTTTGGATCAAGCGTAAGCTCTCTCAGAAACAGCATATAAAAACGCTTATCAAAGAAGCGCACGGTTTCATTTTCGTTTCTTTAAATGATTCTATGTTATGTTCTCTCATGAAAGTATTCGAACACTTTTTGTGAACATATATGTACATGCTACAAAATTGCTCAGGATTTCATTAGCTCTGTAATAAGGTACAATTGTCACGATTATACCCTTAAAATTTGAAACCAATCTGAAAATGTACATATATAATATACAAGTTAAAAAACGCTCATTACAAACATACACTTAATAAAAAATTAATATAAATAGTTGCCTTAAATGTAGATAATTAATGATTTAGCGCCATAAAATATTAATTGATAATTTAAATTTGATTTAAATAATTTTATAGTTTATGTGAAGTATATATTTATAATAAATGCTTTATGATTTCTATACATTTTCAGATTTATTTCAAGTTTCATCACTATAATAATTTTGTATGGCATATATAGTATTGTATATTCAAAATAAGTTTCCACAAGAATAGTTATATATGGTTATATAGAGTCTATATAAAATTGAAAGAGCATTAGTTCGCAGAGTTTCGATCGCAACGTTTCACGATTTGACTATAGATTAGATTACTCTAGACTAAAGATTAACACCGTGTATTCCTGCACACACAATTAGCGGAAACGCGATTCATCATTTCAATCAAATCGCGGGCACAGTAATTGACGCATAGGCTATTAATGTGCGCATGTACGAAACTCACAATCCTGGCTTTTGCTACCATTGCACGGGCATCATAAAAAAAAGCGGCCAGACAATCGAGCAGGAACAAGCGCCGAAAGATTCCTACGAGTTCGTGCGCTCAATAGTATTCACTAAGGGAGAGGTAGATCCTGATAAAGTTCTTTGTCTCCATCTGCTGACTGCTCACAGTACGAAATGGAAAGACGATGACGGCTCCACTATCAAACCTATTTCGTCCTTATTGGAAAAAGGTACAATTCTCTGTAAATAAAATTAGAAAATGCTATATCTTTAGATATAAACATAAAACGAATTTCTATCTCTTTGAAACTAAGACAAATATTTTATAATTTTATTTATACTATATTTGCTATATATATAAACTATACTTAATGTTTGAAGCTAAGAACAAACATTTTTCTGGCATGTGGAACAACGTCATACCTTGTTACGTGGTGGATACTCAAGTAATCTCATCAAACACAAAACTCCACGAAGATCCACGGAAGAAGATTTTAGATGATCAGGTGATGTATGAATTCGAGGAAAAGTATAAACAATATATGAAAAAGGACGCTGATTTTGAAAAGGCTTTATCGTCTAATGCTAAACACGCGCAGAGAATAATGTTGCAGGGCATCGATAAAATGCCCGCAATTTCTCCTCATGTCTACTCCTTACTTGGAGCATCTCATGAACTGCGAATTAAACAAGCCCTTGCCGAAGGTATAGTGAGAAGAAGATATGCTACCTCTAATATGGAATTGAACAAATTTAATGAGAACAGTTTGTCTTTTCGTCTCGACGACGATGACGATATTTTAAGTAGAACAACTATGAACGTATCGACTAGAAACTGGATTTCGAAATCATATAGTCCTTCGAGAAGATCCACATTTGGATCCTTGTTCAAACTTGACCAAGGAATTACTATGTTAAAGTCAAAACCAAGAAAAAATCAAGATACTATGCCTAAAGATCTTGTTACTATAAAATCCAGCGTTAAAGCGATGAAAGAAATACCTTCGAAGACTTCCAGCATCAAATCTCCTTTTTATAGCATGTTTAGCAGTCGACAATCCATTAATTCTCTGCTTTCGGCTACATTGTATCCAGAGATGATGGCAAAATGTAGGAAACGCATTTATTTAAACGCACCAATTAAATTGATAGAGCTTAGAAACAAAGAATATCAAATTGTACCAATTCTTGTGAATTATCAGCTCCAAGCATTGGTGCAAACTGTATTCGAAGTTCTTGAACGCGTGAATCCTGAAAAATCCAAAAAAATAATCGATACTGCAAGAGATACAAAAGAGATAAATAAGATGCTATTGCGTCCGGAGATACAAAATTTTATACAATCACTGTTGGGTCAGTCGTTGGTCTCATCCCCGGAAAGCTTCGTGGTTTCATTGGCAATGATGACGGATGAGATAGATCTTCGATTCGAGGGAATGCTAGAAAAGGAAATAATTGCGTTGACTCTAGAAATGCCGTCACTTCCATCTCTGGATGCTCTGATTGCCGAGATACGAAATAACATTTTTCTCGATAACAAGAAACCCGAACAAGATACCAGTGCGACATCTTCGAATCCAAATAGGGGAAAAGTTAAAAAGAAAAAAAGTGTAAAAAGAGCGAACTTGAAAAATTATTCTCGCTGGAGTAAGAGTAAAGGCTGTAGCAGCGGTATGTCTCCACACAACAAGTCGAAAGAAGATAATGTTATGCAACTCTCGGAGACGAAGTGTGGAAACAGCCTAAGGAAAACCTCGAAGATAAAAGCAGCCGACCAACTGAGAATTTCAGGAAATGTTCTCGCCAAACGTACTTCGAATTCCAAAGTAAGGCCATCGTGAAAAAAATGCAAACAGAGAAAAAATGATTGCAACGGCATCTCAAACTCTGAAATATTTAAAAGGGAGAGATCTGATAACGAATATTTTTCCTATTCCATGTGCAGTCCTGGAACAATGCCCAGGATCTCGGTCATTTAAACGCAAATCATGTAATATTGCAAAGAATGACGAACACTCAGAGAATCTTAGTAGGACAAATGTGTGCCTCTCTTAAGACCAAGAAAATTAATAATCAAGGTCTTATCTTGTAATTAGTATTTTAAAATTCGCGATATCTATAATTTATTTCTCGGCTTTTTACCCAGGTTTAATTGATGAAAGCGTACCACTTGCTGCACTAATTGCTCCAGCTCTTTCGCGTGATAGTATCAAAATCTTGACCCGAGATGCAATATTTTCAAAAACAAATATCACACATGAAGAAGAAATAGAGGATAACATTGTAGTAGATAAATTAACTGGTCCTTTGCTTGCAAAGGTTGTTGTTTAAATATTCCTCTTCTAACAGAATCTCATCTATAATAAAAATTAAATTCATAAATTATCATATATATTTTTTAGATACGACAAGATATAGCAGAAGATGAAACAAACCGACGTTTGAAAATTTTCTTAAAAAATGAAATCTTATAAACGAAATAAATAAAATTAATCATTTCATTTCGTGAATTTATATTTTATTCTTTATTCAAAAAAATTATGAAAATTCAAAACAATCCAAAATTGTATATTTAGACTTGAATATTTCAATTTAAACTTAAGTTCAACAAATAGCAAATTGAATATATAACTTATTTTCAATGGAACAGCTGAAAATCACATAATTTATTTTTTAAAAACTAAATGACATTTATTCGTTATTAATCCAAAACTTTTATAATTAGTTTAGAAAATTAAACTGCAATAACGAACTGATTTTAAAAAAACTAAATTTATTCAGTAACATGGCTGACCAGTATGAATTTAATAAAATTCTATTTAGTCTTTGTAATAATTACAATAATTTTTTGAAACGATGTTTTTGTAAAATATTGGCAATACGTGTTCATTTCTAACCAACAACTAAGTGAGTGAAATAAATACGTCTATAATAATTCTCCTAAATGCTCATTGTTCTAAATTGCAGATATATTATAACTATTTCGATAATGCAAAAGAGCTATTGACTGTAGTTTTTACCTGACAATTTCTATGCGATGCTCCTTTTTTGCTGTGCTTCCCGCCAAAAAGTGACGTTACATAGTTACATTTCAATATTATAGATCGATCACGAGAAATATCGATTATATGATCGTGTGCATACTTCACCACTTTATTGACTCTGTGATCTTCATCTAAGCCAAAATCATTTGAAATGAAAATATTATCATCTTAATTCTTCATAAAAACGAAAATCTCTGTTTCTTAATCTTTCTGGTATGATTTAAGAAATTGTCTGTATTCTATATCATCTTATTCTATAAACTTTCGTTTAAGTCAAATAGGTGTATTTTAACTTCAAACAGTTTTAAGTTCCATTAATTCAACGAGTTTAACTTATTCAATTTAATAGCACGTTGTGAATTAATACTTTTTCATGTCCAAATAATTTTACTTACCCAAATATTTTCCATTATATTCAATAAAATTTTTCTATTATAGATGCATATTCTAGTGAGACGACGCAACTTCATCGTCTTATATTCGCCGTAACAAATCACAGAGGGCGCAAGAAGTATTCTAATTGCACAACCAGACTATATATCTCATCTATGCCACAGACAAGGTATATGAATAGACCACGCATCCAATGCATCTGTAACTGAAGATATATAATTGACAACACTGTAAAGGATATCATTTTCTTGAACCAACTTGCATCATTTTGTTTGACGTAGTTATTTAATTCACCGTTGTTTAAGCGTAGAGGACGCTAAAAAATCAGTGACTCTTTTTCCTGGTCGGTATTTCAGAACCTAGGACGCGAAACTCCATTTGATGTCAGGTCTATGCAAATAGTCAATGCTGTTAGTTAGTGATTGAACGTCACATCTTTCCTATACCTCGTCTATGCATAAAATTTGATGTATGGATTTACTTAGTCAATGTTAATTTACACATATAGATGGCACAAAAGTTCGTTATACAATTTGTAGGCGACGTGAATTTAAAATTGAAAATATGGTGTACACTTCTTTTACTAGACTCGCATAAAGTATAAAACAAACTCTTCTGTTGTAAATAAAATGATAAAAATACCATGAACTATAACATTTTGTGGGAAATACTATAACAATATAAAGATAATTATATTATAAAACTCAATACATATCTATATATTTGATATTTTAACAAACAGTTTATATGCTAAATAAGATTTATAGAATATTCAATTTTATATGATATTTTACTATTACTATTTGCATAAAATGGGAATAATTTACACAATATACTGAATAGTTAGTGAATACGATTGAATATAAAGTCAGCTGATCAACGTCGCGCAATCGCAGTTACATTACTGCATAGGCGTAAAAGAAAAGCTATTTTGAACGAAACATAAGTTTACAGCTGTGTGTGCATAATTGAAAAGAAGTGAATCAAAAGTAAAACGGGGAAATTGGATCAGAATAGAATATTGGAATATCCGTTAATTATACGATCATCGAAAAAAACAGTGGAGAATTTTATTGCATTACGCCATGTTCGCTGATGTGAGGAAAATACATCAGATGTATTGCAGATTTCGTGCAAAATGTCTATGTTAGAAATTTCTTATGTGCTCCGAAATGATACTCACATGTTTATTCAAAGTAGCACAACGTTTATTTTAACATACAAGCCACAACGTGATAAGTAATCCATTTAGTTGAGGAAGAAAACGATATGTATGAATATCGTACATGGTTTTTTTTAAACATCTTTTTTTGGATCCTGTAGAAAACTTCTAACGAAAAATATCGCTACCTTTCTGGAAACTAACGATCTATTTGTCAATTAATTGACAAACATGTATACATTCAAACCATTTGTGTTCATGAAGCACGAAGCACAGAGTGTAGAACGTCCAAAAGCTAGAAGTGGGCATAGAATAGTCTGTGATCATAAGAACTTATATTCTTATGGCGGATTCAATCCTTGTATCTCTGATACTGATCCTGATATGCAAAATGATCAGACGTGGATCTCTAGTAAACCACTCTTCAAGGAAGTTTGGAAATTTAATCTTGTTACACAACAATGGAAACGCTTACCAGGTCAGGATAACATGCCCAATGAATTAGCATCTAACGCAGTGATTTTAAGAGGCAATGCTCTGATGGTTTATGGTGGAACTGGTGTACCATTTGGACATAGTTGTAGCAATCATCTTTATGTGTGCAATGTTAACGATGGTAGAATGTATATAGTTCCTGCAAAGGGAGATCTACCTGAACCTCAATATGGACAAGCTTTAATATGTCATGGGTCATATTTATATACTGTTGGTGGTACTACAGGATATGAATATACTTGTGATATTCATAGATTTGATCTTAGGACTGGTGTTTGGGAAACTGTTTACATATGTTCTGGAAGAGACCAGAGTGAACCTACGGGACGATATAGACATGAATTAGCTTTTGATGGGAAACTTATATATGTTTTGGGAGGTGGAACAGCTACAGAAGCATTTGGTTTCTCAGTACGTAAATTTTAATACAATCTCTCTCTCTTTCTCTCTCTCTCTCTCTCTCTCTCTCTCTCTCTCTCCCCCAATATAAATTCTAAATTTTAATTAAATTTTTTTGAATACAAATTGTGTTTAGGAAATTCCTGCCTTTGATCTAGAAACAAATAAATGGATAATATTAAACACATATAGTGATAATGATGATAATACAGTACCAGAACCTAGACGATGTCATGGATCGGTGCAGTATACAGATGAGAAAACAGGTGTCACGTCAGTAGTAATCTCTGGAGGATATAATGGAGATCATGTCTTCTCAGATGTTTGGAGATTAGATTTAAATCTACTACAGTGGACATGTTTAAGAAAATGTATACTTCCCTGTCCTGTGTATTTTCATTCTGCAGCTCTTACTCCGGAAGGACGCATGTATACATTTGGTGGTATCATTAAAGAAAATAATAAGGTTGTTATAATTTTCTTATTTTTTTAATTCTTTACTTTAATGCGTGCAGTTTTCTAAATATTTTTAAAAAATTTCAGGTTGTAAGGACAGATGCAGTTCATTCTGTTTGGTTGACAATTCCTAAATTATCAGAAATATGTTGGCAAGCATTAATTCATTACTGTCCAGACTTAAGGCACAAGTCACAAGATGAATTACTTCATATGGGTATACCTCTTAAATTTGTGCAAAGAATTGATTGGTATGATGCATAATATTTAAGAACTTTTTTGATATTTGCTACTCATTCAAAGCGTTACCACTCCAACCATTGTTACCAGTTACTTATTGCATGAATATTGTAATTGTTGAACATTATTGCCATTATTTATTTACAATATTTTTATAAAAGAGGTACATAGTGTGTTGCGCAATTAATATGACAAATATTATCAATGGATCACTTTCTTCGAATTTACTTATATCGTGCAATATTTTACATACTGAATGAAATTTTACACATAAAATATATGTATTAAAAACAGGAGGAAAATTCATATAAACATATATTTACAAATGTATACTAATGTCAAAAAAAAATTTCAAATAAGTATACTAAAGTTAAATTTAATTTCGATAAAAAAGCGTTATACATTTTTTTTCTTTTTTTTTTTTTGTTCATCGTGGCAAATTGAAGTGAAGCTACAGTTTTTGGCATACGTATAATGTAAAGTACATATAATATTTTTAAAATCTTTCTATTTTTTCTTTTCTTTATTATAATTCGTGTACATCTGCGAATGATCTAAAATTGTAGACTCAAAAAATTTATATAAAGTTTTTTTTACATAAAATTTTACTTATAAAAAGAAATGTAAAATCTTTTTATAACTTCTTTATCGAAGTTTGAATTGTTTAATTAACGTTTGAATTGTTTAATCTTTTATCTTTGATAAAGTAGATTCTCATAATGAATAAAGAATCGGATTACATGTTATATATAGTTATTAGCAAATATGCTTATTAATTTAGTTATATAATGTCGCAACAAGAATGCGTGTAATACCGTAAATTTTCGTTATAAACTATACATAAATCTTGTTAGAAGACTATACTTTTTTTTCTTTGTTAGCACTACAATACATTCTTCATTAAAATTCACTACATCATTGTACATACATATAAATATAAATAGGCAGTAATGCATTCATTAATAGAAGAAATTAGCTGCACACTGCAATATAATATATATATATATCTTTAAGTGAAAAGAGGAAAATTAAGTATGTGTGTCATGTGAAACAAGACATCGAAAAAATGTTTTACTTTGATTACAATAATTGTTCAGTTCAATATGTTGAAGAGTAAATTTATGTAGTATATACTAATATACTCGTTATGTGTAGTATATACTAATATACTCGTTTTTCATATATTACAGTAGAATCTTGATTATCCGAACATCTATTGTCTAGGTAAATATCTCAGAGAAATTAATAGTATTAGTGTATAGTTTGAAAGAAATATGCATTCAGCAATTCAAAAAGAAAACAAAGATGAACAGAATTAGTTCTAATAATCGAAGTTCTATTGAAATCAGTATATAAAATTTTTCTTCTGTTTATAGTAAATAATCATTGTTTTGCGAAAATAAATTGTATGGATTAATGTAGTCTTCTACCGTTAGAGGCAAATTTTCTACGTTCAGATACAGATAAACAGTACAAATGATACACAAATCTTTAGGCAATATAAGTTTACATCTTCAGATAATACAGTTTTATTCAGTTCATGAAAGGAACTATTCCTAAATCTAATTTTTATACGAAGTAATCTAAATAATTTCATTCAATACTTCTATTCAGGGAAATTGAGTAGCAGAAAGTGCTCCATTGCAAACGAAAGCCTTTTTATGATGATATTATTGATAAGAATATTAATTACACAATATCTATTTATTATCTATATCATATTGCAGATTATTATTTTTTTAATAAATATAAGCTGGCCTGCGGATATGAATAACGGATTAACAGAAACCAGTAATGATATAACTTATACTTTTTTAGTAATACTTTAGTGATATTGCAAGCTAAATTTCAACATTATGAATCGCAGTTGAATTCAAAATCTATTATCAAAATTAGTATATTGATTCACGTTTACGTGCTGATTTGTATAGAAAAAAATGTATCTGAATAGTTTCGAAAAGAATACTAAAGAACGAATGTCGCCAAACATTTAAAATAGAAAAACGAAAAAATTCGTTAAGAAACTGAAATGATCTTTTATAGAAATTCTTCTTCACTTTCAATAGAAAAAAAGGAAAACTCTAAAATATTGCTTCTCTTCTGGCACAAAACAATATGATATAGAATGTTGCCTTCCTCTGTATTTGCAGTTTCTCTGAAGCAGAACTTCATATCAAACAGACGATGTATTTGCGTACCAATTTCGGAGTACAAAATAGCTTAAAAGTTACTTTAAGTACGCAATGCGGAATGCATCCAATTATTACTAGTAGGCATGATTATTGAAAGAGGAATTAGGGGAACAAACGATGGTAAAGAAAATGAATAAATTGCGCGTGAATTTGTATAAAATGCAAAGGAACTCTTGCCTTAAAAATTAGATAAGCTAAATGCATTCAGATTTGTATGCGACACGTCAATAATTGCATTACACTAAAAAAAAATTTTTATTGACGTTCCATACAAATGGATCGTATCGACATATGAAAAACCAATGCGAATTATACTTAAGTAGACACAAAGGTTGTTTCTCTTCTCGTATTGTTCAATTCTCGGTGCTATTTATCTAAATTTAAGAAGACGATCGCCATAGGCGTACGTATTAGCAAAGATAGATTGTAAATAGGAAATTGAATACAGTCAAGCTGATACTCTTAATCCTGTTTATTTCTCTTCACTCACCCTTTATATTATATCTCAAATAATTAACGTACTGATGATGCTTATGAATTCTATGATCAAAAAGTTTGTGTAAAAGAAATACTTTTCCTTAATTTAAAATTGTAAATGTTGTAATTACACGTGAAAACAGATGATTGACAATGCACAAATGTATCTAGAAAAGCAATATAACGAAATACTTTGTAATAATAATTATATCGTTATGAACATCATATGTAGTTGAAACTGCTCTGAATTGTACGTGCTACTCTCTTTTTGTAGTACTCTACGATTTCATATTAAACGAAGTTATCTCAAATAAGGTTTCAGAAGTTTTCAGACAGATGTCCAAAGACTACGTTGAAATCTAAATTGGTACATTAACGAAGCAATTAAGATCTCATTTGACGGTCTGGATGTTAATTCCACTTGTTGCCTTTATCTTATTAATAATAACAGTGAAAGTATTTTATAGTATGCGCGTTTGTTTCGTGCCTTTAAATGCGTGTACGCGCGTTCACAATGATCTGCTGAATGTCAACGACGAGACATATACTTAGGTATCATTACGTCTGCTCATAGAATATCGATAGACTGATGAACATTTCTTAATATCTTAATTGTTCTATTAACAATGTGAACAGATGCGAAAAAGATCATAAAGAAAAAAAAATATTCAAAATTATGATGTCGATGAGATCGAATACGTAAGATTATATTTCTAAATATTAAAGTTAAACTAAGTAGATGTATAAATTAATGTTTGTATCTTTTGGTTGTATTCGAACTAACAAAAATACGCAATATCCCTCTCTGCGCAAATAAAATATATTTTATAGACGTACAATTGTGATTAATTTCTTAAATAATAACGGGCACCGCAAAGGTATATTGTAAATGAATTTTCGTTGCAAAAACAAGTGGAAACTTTTTTGTCATACACTTAATAATAGATCGTTATAATTTATGACTATTGTACAGTTAACAATCAATGGAAAGATAAAGAAACGCTATGTAAACTACTTCCGCCATTTCTTTCTATTACCGAAATTAAATACAGCGCGCAAAATCCTTTGAAAAAGGATTGCTACGTATATATTAATATTATATTTATATTAATATTATATATTAATATTATATATATATTTATATTATTATATTATATATTAATATTATTATATTATATATTATTATATATTATATATATATTTATATTATATATATTTATATTATATATATTATATTATATATATTATATATTATATATATATATTTATATTATTATTATATTATATATTAATATTATATATATATATTTATATTAATGAATGTGTAGTCAACGAATAGGCATCGACCACGTAAAAATTATTTAGTACTAAAATTTCAAAAATTTCCCTCTATCTTTCTTTTTCTTATCAAGTGAATTTTCTCTAAAGAAAAAACGAATAATTTCAATGAAAATATTTTTCGCAAAGTTCGAAATTTTCAATTAATATAATTTTCAATTTGATGTTGACAACTGCCCGAGGTCTGTTCGGGTAGTTTCGTAAGCAGCGCTCGTAGATTCGTAGATGTCGCGCATGCGCGTAGCACAGAGGCAATAGTATAACCGATTAACCAAACCCGCGGATCGCTTCATTTTGAGGCAGACGTCTGCTCTCTGTCCTTCGAGTGGCAGTTCATTACCTTTCTACAGCGAAACATTATCACTTTATTTCCATGTCTCCGACATATCTAACTCCGCAGCATATCGAAATGTACGGTGAAGTGTTCATGTAGTATTCGTTGCAACCGTAGACACCATTCACGTGCCAGACGAAGACCTATCTCCATCGACATTGACTTCAAACACCTCGTGGACGACGAGCATCGACGAAAAAAAAGGCTCTAGAAAACATTCATTAGAACATGGAGCAGAAACGCTTGTACAAAGTGGTACTCACTGGAGGTTAGTTTTATTTTCATAGTAAATGCAAACGATTCACCGTCGTGCGTTCCGTGCATCGTAATTCCGTTTCGAAAACATTTGTTCCATTGAATAGATGCTTCCGTATGTATTTTCAATCCAATAATATATTTATTTCGACGAAAATATCTTCGTAAAAGACGAGCTACACGTCTACGGAAACCACGTGTCTCGATAACTTTGTAATACCCTTGTTGAATCCACACTTTTTGTTTATCAAAATCTCTGCCACAATTTCCATTACACGCGAACGAACGCGAAGCGACTCGTTTTTGTTTTTTTTTTTCTCTCGTCGCTATGATTTGCACGCAACGCTTCGCAAGTTTGTCAGTGAAAATATTGATTAAATTCCTATAAGACACGTAGAAAATTGCATCATTTCAAATTGAGTTTGCTTGCTCCGAAATTTACTCATCTTTTTAAATAGTCGTCCACATGGAACTGCTCGCATGGACGACCGTATAAACGCATTTGTACGAAACTGATTCTCATTACGAATACGAATGTTTCAATATATAAATTTAATAAGTTGAAATCGATTTAGAAAATAGACAGTGCAAATGAAATAAAAAAAATGTCTCGAAATATTATCTCGAATGCAAATACGGCTATTAAAAAAAAAAAAAAAAAACATTGATGGTCTGACGCATCTAAATTTAATTCGTCGAAAACACATACATATCTCGAATTATGTACATAACGTAGGTCAATATATGATGCATGAAAATTTGTTTTCTGCATTGTGTTTATACGTACGTTTCGACCTGCGAATAAGATTGAATTTCAATTTATGAAAATATTTATAAAAATCTTGTTACTTTCTATACGATCATAACCTATGCTATGTACATATATATTTCCTTTATTTCTCTTTTTATGTGACTTAAAACAAAGATCAATTGAACAAAGTGGATTGAATGTCAGAAATAGAGCGACTGTTCTAGAATTATTAGCCTCCGTAAATAAAAGATCAACAGTGATCAGTGATCCATCCCTCGATTTGGCTCGATAGTCTCGAATCGAATCTTCGCGCCGGTACATAAGCACGATTAATCTTTACAATTGATTGTAATGACACTCGACACTTTGGTTACATATTTCCGATGCAAGTCGTTCGCTGGCGACTTTTCTGTCTGAAATTATTTCATATAGCTGCACGGATATTCAACAGCAGCGACAGGAGATACATGTCCTGCGATACAACGTTTAAATGTTAATAAGTGTTAATAAACAGACCATGAATATTCTATATTTACCTTCGTATAATAAACATGTTACCTCGGTACATTGTTGCGATATTTTTTTTTTTTTTT